AGTCTAGCCCCTTCGCTGTACAACTGCTGAGGTCCGCTCCAGACCCTGCTTGTCTGGGGTGCACCTCTAGTAGCTTTGGCACAGCGAGGGATGCTACCAGTTTCTTTTTCTGCCCTCGTCGTCCCAGGATGATGCCTGCCTAATGTCAGTCTTTTGGATATAGAGGGGTCAGGGAGCTGCTTGAGGAGACAGTTTGTACTTCATAGGGGTTTAATTGCTGAGCTGTGCACTCTGTTGTTCATTCAGGGCTGTTAGGCTGCTATGTTTGATTCTGCTGCAACAGAGCTCATTAAAAAACTCCCCCCCTTTTTTTTTTTTCTCAAATGCTCTGTTTTGAGGGGTTTGGGCTTTATTTTTGGATGTCCGATCAGGTGTCCTGCCCAGCTAGAAGGCAGACTAGCCACTGTTTGGCTGCCGAGGCTCTGCCCTGCTGTTGTGTGATTCGTGCTGTTCCTGCCGGCTCTGCTGTGGTCTCCGCCACGCTCTGTGGTGGAGTCTCTTTGTTGTAGCGTGTTGCCTCAGCAACGGCAGTCTGCGTCAGCAGTGGGCGTGTATCTCAGTAGGGACGGGTTGCCTCGGCAACGGCTGGCTGCGTCAGCAATGGGCGTGTATCTCCGTTGGGGCGGGTTACCTCGGCAACGGCTGGCTGCGTCAGCAGTGGGCGTGTATCTCAGTTGGGGCGGGTTGCCTCGGTAGTGGTGGACGCCCCTCCCCCACAGAGCGTCTCGGACCGTCTGCCCGGGATACTTTGAAATCGCGGTTTTGTTCGTCCCACTGGGCATCCCAATTCCTGCAATCCCCTGGGCTGGGCTACTGTCCAAGTCTCATTCAGTCTCAAGTCCAGCCCTCTCAAGTCTCAGGTTGCCGGTTCAACAGGGCACCCGGACAAGCGCGCCCTGTGGGGATTGCTGGGTAGGGCCGGCCGCCGCCGCCCCGGCTGCCGGCTTCGCCAGGCAGACCTACTGCCTGGCGTCCCGTGTTTCTTTTATACTTGGGAGTTTCCCCGTTCTGTGGGCAACAAAGATCAGTCTGGAAATGCCGCTCTGACTCACCGTTTGCAGATTCAACGAGAAGAGCTCCAATCCTGGGTTGTTCTCACAGCGCCATCTTGAGTCCTCCCCCCCATTGTTGTATTTTTATTAGAGATGGGATTTCATCATGTTGGCCAGGCTGGTCTTGAACACCTGACCTCAAATGATCTGCCTTCCTCAGACTTCCAAAGTGCTAGGATTTAGGCATAAGCCATTGCACTCAGCCATGTTTTTCAGGTTTTAAAATTATAGTTAGTACTGGGTTTTATAATGGAATTATAATATTGGCTTTGCAGAATCATTAATAGCTTAGAATCTTTGTTGATTATACATAGTTGAGGCCATGATTAAAGTTTGTCTAAGAATAGATAAGATTATAACAAAACATTTACATTGTTTTTGATCAGTTAATTATTAAGAAAAAATGAGTATAGGAAAAATTGACAGTAGAGTAATTGCATCTGAAATTTGCTCGTCCCCCTAAACCCCTAGCAAAATTGGAGTGAAAGATCTAGACCTGAAATTTATTGAAGGTGCAGTAGAGATTTTTCAGAGCTTTAAATGTTTATTTTTTTCCTTGCCTTTAATAATTGCATGATTTTCCTATTTGAAAAACTGGAAACTATAGAACACCAAAATGAAAATAAAAGTCACCTCTCTTATCACTCAGGGATAATCACATTTTAACATATTTTGTATAGTTCTTCCATGTTTCCTTCATTTTTCTTGTGTTTAAATCACTTTATTGAGATATGATTGACATAAGAAAAGCAGTAATATTTACTGTATATAACCCGATGAGTCTGGAGATAAGTATACATGCATGAAACCATCACCACAATCTGTGTCATAAACATGTCTACCATCTCCAAAAGTTTCCTCCTGTCCTCTTTATCATTATTTTTTTGTTAACACTTTTACATAAGATCTACCCTCTTAGCAAATTTTTAAGTATACAATACAGTATTGTTAGCTATAGGCATCATGCTGTACGGTAGATCTCTAGGACATACTCATCTGTGTAACTGAAACTTTGTACCCTTTGATTAATATCTTCCTGTTTCCTAGCCCCCAGTTTCTGGCAATCACTATTCTATTCTCTGTTTCTATGAGTCTAACTATTTTTGATTCCCCATGTAAGTGATATTATGTAGTATTTGTTCTTCAGTGTCTGGCTTACTTCACTTACCGCAATGCCTTCCAGTTTCATCCATGTTGTTACAAAGGGTAGGGTTTCCTTTTTAAGACTGAAAAAATATTCTGTACACACGCACACACACCCCATATTTCTTCATTCACGTAGTCTGGAATCATCTTAAAGACCTGATCACTCACCTGTGCTGGGAAGACTCAAACATTTTAGTACAGCTTTATCTCTTTTTAGCCTCTCCACGTGATCTTTTAAGTATAGCAGCCATAGAGTATGCAAATTTCTCAGTTATTGGTTCAAGGGTCCCAAGTTATGTGCACTGAGAGAAGGAGGGGAGGAAAGGAAAGAGAATACATGAATGTGTGCAAGCCAGGCTGAAGCTGTATTGCTGTTTATGATTATCATTGGAAGTCACAGGCCTACTCAGATTCAAGAGGAAAGGAACATAGTCCTGATGTTGGAGGACTGTCAATATCAAATTGTAAGAAGAGCATGTGGGGTAGCCATCTCTAGAAAAGACAGTATGGCACAGAATCTAGTATAGGGTAAATACCCTACTTAAAAAGGATCTGTGGGTATGAACAGCCTAAAGGCCTTGTCTTAATCCCTGGGAAAATAACTGTTGTTTCCTAATTAAAATTTGAGGCAAATGATTGATTTAGAGATAAAATTTTCTGGTCTAAATAGCAATTAATAATTAAGAAGTTATTGGTAACCGGGAGGATTAACTTTGGCCCTCATTGGTGCTAGTGAAATAAAAAAGTTGAGATAAGCATTCTTCAAATTTATTCTGTCCTCCTGACTTGGGCTTTTTCTTTTAGAAATAATTTTATGAATCGTTACTGGTTGTAGTTGATATAGTGATTTTTTTTTTTTTTTTTTTTGAGACAGAGTTTCGCTCTGTCACCCAGGCTAGAGTGCAGTGGCGTGATTTAGGCTTACTGCAACCTCTGCCTCCTGGGTTCAAATCATTCTCCTGTCTCAGCTTCCTTAGTAGCTAGGATTACAGGCATGCACCACCACGCCTGGCTAATTTTTTGTATTTTTAGTAGAGATGAGGTGTCACCATGCTGGTCAGCCTGGTTTCAAACTCCTGATCTCGTGATCTGCCTGCCTTGGCCTCCCAAAGTGCTGGGATTACAGGCATGAGCCACTGCGCCCAGCTGATATAGTGCTTTTTATATGTTACATTTTATAGCCTGAACTTGAAGCTTAATTGTCATTTATAACTTTATTTTGGCTGGATGTGGTGGCTCACACCTGTAATTTTGGCACTTCGGGAGGCTGAGGCAGGTGGATCACAAGGTCAGGAGTTTGAGACCAGCCTGGCCAACATGGTGAAACCTCATCTCTACTAAAGATACAAAAAATTAACTGGGCGTAGTGGTGCGTGCCTGTAATCCCAGCTACTTGGAATGCTGAGGCAGGAGAATTTCTTGAACCTGGGAGGCAGAAGTTGCATTGAGCCAAAATTGTGCCATTGCACTCCAGCTTGGGCAACAGAGTGAGACTTCATTTCAAAAAAATCAAAACAAAAACGAAAAACTTCATTGTAATGTGGAAGCTGGGTATTCATATTCTAAACAGATGATTTTTTTTTTTTTTTGAAACTTAGAGTCCTGCTCTGTTGCCCAGGCTGGAGTACAGTGGGGTGGTCACAGCTCACTGCAGTGTCTGCCTCCCAGGGTCAAGCAGTTTTGCTGTGTCAGCCTCCTGAATAGCGGGGATAACAGGCGCCTGCCACAACACCTGGCTAATTTTTAGTAGAGACGGGGTTTCACCATATTGGCCAGGCTGGTCTTGAACTCCTGACCTCGTGATCTGCTTGCCTTGGCCTCCCAAAATGCTGGGATTACAGGCATAAGCCACCTCGCCCAGCCTAAACAAATGATTTTAATCTCATAGCTACAATCTGTGCATTCATTCACTTGTTTATTCATCATGTCATGAGCCACACACTGTGGAGATTCAAGGGTGAATAAGGCATGGAGTAATCTTTAAGAAGCTCTGCTTTTTGGAGAAGAAGACTATGTAGACAGATAACTCTAATATAGTATGATATGTGTAATATAAATAATGCAATATAATATATAACACATTTTTAACATATTATATATAACAGTGTAAATAATGTAATGTAAATAATAATATATACTGTAACATTATATATAATATATAACATAACATTAATATATGTATAACATTATATTATAAATAATGCAGTACCAAGTACTGATATTCAGAGAAAGGAATGCTTGGTGTGGCAGTGATGGTTGTGTGGATAAAATAGTAATTTTGACAAGAATATGGAGTACTTTGCTAGGAAGAGAGGGAAGGGCATTCTAGATTGAGGGAACAGTATATGCAAAGGTTTAGAGATACAAAATAATATGATTTGTTTGAAGAAGGTTGGTTCATTCTGGGTTGCAGAATTTTTGGTGTGTGTGATGTGAAGGAGCCCAAATTGTAAAGAGTTTTATCTGTAAGTAATGGCTGCCATTGTTGAATTTTAAGTATTGCAGCCATAATTAGATTTTTTGTATTAGAGAACTCTGGGGCTGACATTTGAAAGATTAAAAGGGGAAGAGACAGCAGGCAAGAGAATAGTTAGGAAGCTATTGTGATTCCTCTTTCATCTCCTTTCAGAGTCAAGGAGAGGTTTTGTTAAAAAAATAAAATTATATTAATTACATATAAATTAAGCACTGAATTTAAAACTCTTAGCAGATTATTAATGCAGAGTAATATAATGGTTCTGTTAGCTGAATTAGCTCTTATATATATAGCTCTTATATAAACTAATTATTTTCTCATCTTAGTTTCAGATAAGAAAGATGTTAAAAGCAAAACCAGAGGATGTCCATGTTCAATCACCACTGTCCAAATTCAGAAGCTCAGAATGCTGGAATCTCCCGTTGCAGGGGGTAAATAAAATTAAATTCTTTTAAGTATATATAGTTTTTTTTGGTATGTTTAAAATATTTTAAGAAAGCTAAATTTTTATTTTCTAATATGTCCCTTTTTTGTTTTCTTATGTTATTTAATTGCAGATTTTAGTTTATTTTTAGCATGTTGAAATGATACTTCGAGGTTAGGCACTTGAGTTTAAAATTATATGTACATTATACATGGTTAATTTCATGAAATTTAATATTGTTGCTGGGTGTGGTGGCTCACGCCTGTAATCCAAGCACTTTGGAGGCCAAGGCGGGTGGATCACCTGAGGTCAGGAGTTCAAGAACAGCCTGACCAACATGGTGAAACCCCATCTTAAAAAAAAAAAAAAGAAATTTAATATTGTTGTGAAATAAATTCTGCTTTAAATTTACTAAAACTTTTATAGGATATAAACTTTTATAGTTTTATAGAATTGTTTGTTTTTATGCTGTTGATCCATTTTAAGTTTGAGAGTGTATCTTTTTTTTTTTTTTGAGACGGAGTTTCACTCTTGTTACCCAGGCTGGAATGCAATGGTGTGATCTCGGCTCACTGCAACCTCCGCCTCCTGGGTTCACGCAATTCTCCTGCCTCAGCCTCCTGAGTAGCTGGGATCACAGGCACGCGCCACCATGCCCAGCTAATTTTTTTTTGTATTTTTAGTAGAGACGGGTTTTCACCATGTTGACCAAGATGGTCTCGAGCTCTTGACCTCGTGATCCACCTGCCTCGGCCTCCCAAAGTGCTGGGATTACAGGCTTGAGCCACTGTGCCCGGCCTGAGAGTGTATCTTTTAAAGAGTAATACAACTATATTTCAAAAGATACTTTGATTATAAATCTGGACTTCATTTCACTTTTAAGCGTTATAATCAGGCCTTCATGAATAAGGCTTAAGATAGTGCTTTTTTGTGTTTTGTTTTTTAACTTTTAAGTTCAGTGGTACAAGTACAGGTTTGTTCCATAGGTAAACTTGTGTCATGGGGGTTTGTTGTACAGATTACTTCATTACCCAGGTATTAAGCCTAGTTCCCATTAGTTTTTTTCCTGATACTCTTCTTTCTTTCATCCTCCAACCTCTGAAACGCCTCAATGTGTGTTGTTACCCTCTGTGTGTCCATGTATTCTGATCATTTAGCGCTCACTTATAAGTGAGAACATGCAGTATTTGGTTTTCTGTTCCTGTGTTAGTTTGCTGAGGATAATGGTCTCCAGCTTCATTCATGTCCCTGCAAAGGACGTGATCTCATTTGTTTCTATGGTCACACAGCATTCTGTGGTATATATGTACCACAGTTTCTTTAATCTATCATGGATGGGTATTTAGGTTCTTTAGAGACAGGGTCTGTGTTGCTCACATTGGAGTGCAGTGACACAATCATAGCTCACTGAATCCTTGAACTCCTGGGCTCAAGTGATCTTGCTGCCTATCATCCTGAGTAGCTAGCACTAGAGGCATGTGCCACAATGCCTAGCTACTTAAAATTTTTTTTTGTGGAGGTGGAGTCTTGCTGTGTTGCCTAGGCTGGTCTTGAACTTCTGGCCTTAAGCAGTCTTCCTATTTTGTTCTCCCAGAGTGCTCGGCATGAGCCATTGTGCCTGGCCTTGGAATGTGGAAGTCCAAGATGAAGGTGCCGGCAGGGTTGACTTTTGAGGCTTCTCTACTTGGATTGCAGATGGCTATCTTTTCTGTGTGTCTTCACATGGCTTTTTCTCTGGGCACATGTATCCCTAGTGTCTCTTCTTACTATAAGGACATTAGTCCTATTGGATTAGAACTCCACCCACATGACCTCATTCAACCCCTTTTAAGGCCCTATCTCTGCATACAGTCACATTGGGAGTTGGGGCTTCAACATATGAATTTTGGAGAATACAATTTAGTCCATAACTGTAATATTCATTTAGGATACATAGAGTATATAACACATTTTAAGTTATCTTAAATATAGGTATTGTATGTTACAAGAAAAATTAACCATTATTTATTTATTTATTTCAAGACAGGGTCTTGCTCTATCACCCAGGCTGGAGTGCACTGATGTACTCATGGCTCACTGCAGCCTCAGCCTCCTGGGATCAAGCTGTCCTCCCACCTCAGCCTCCTGTGTAGCTGAGATTAAAGGCACATACCACCATGATTGGCTAGTTTTTAACATTTTTTTGCAGAGACAGTTTTGCTGTGTTGCTCAGGTGCTCCTCTCGCCTCAGCCTTCTGAAGTGCTGGGATGACAGGCATGAGCCCCTGAACTTGGCCCTATTAAGAGTTTCACTCTTGTTGCCCAGGTTGGAGTGCAATGGCATGATCTTGGCTTACTGCAACCTCTGCCTCCTGGGTTCAAGTGATTCTCCTTCTTCAGTCTTACGAGTAGCTGGATTACAGGCATGCACCACCACACTTGGCTAATTTTGTACTTTTAGTAGAGATGAGGTTTCCGCATGTTGGTCAGGCTGGTCTTGAATTCCTGACCTCTTGGTGATCTGCCTGCCTTGGCCTCCCAAAGTGCTGGGATTGCAGGCATGAGCCACTGTGTCTGGCCTCCTATTAACCATTTTTAAAACTTGTTCTTTTATTATTTATTTACCTATTTTTAGAATTTGTTCTGCTAAAAAAAAGCTTGTTCTTAGAGGAGAGATTTGTCCTCAGTATTTGTTACTACTACAAAAGTAGTGTAAGAGAACATTTAGAAATTTTGTTATTAAATAATACATTTGTTAGTTTGTATTGGATACAAAGAGTACATAAAAAGGGAAACAATAAAGGAGACCAGATGCGGTCAGTTGTGGAGACCCCAACCCAGGAGGCGCTGAAGGAATTAAGAAACAGAAACAGGCCGGGCGCGGTGGCTCACGCCTGTAATCCCAGCACTTTGGGAGGCCGAGGCGTGTGGATCACGAGGTCAAGAGATCGAGACCATCCTGGTCAACATGGCGAAACCCCGTCTCTACTAAAAGTTCAAAAAATTAGCTGGGCGTGGTGGTGCGTGCCTGTGATTCCAGCTGCTTGGGAGGCTGAGGCAGGAGAATTGCCTGAACCCAGGAGGCGGAGGTTGCGGTGAGCCAAGATTGTGCCATTGCACTCCAGCCTGGGTAACAAGAGCAAAAACTCCATCTCCAAAAAAAAAAAAAAAAAAAAAGAAACAAAGATAGAGTGCAAAAGTGGGAATCAGAGTGGGACATCAGGGGACTGACAGCATTCCCAGCTGAAAGCCCAGAGCAGACTCTTACCCATGTATTTATTCTTTGTGAATAAGTGATTATTTTTAATGAGCAGGTACCACTACCTGCTCATTTAATTTTTTATTCCTGGTACCACTACCACAATTTACACGGCAATATACCTGGTGTAATGAAAAGAAAAGAAAGACAAAGACAAAGCCACAACAGATAAAAGACTTCAGGAGTATACATCTAATTACACTACATTGTAGTAATCAGTAGCTGCACTTTTTGCAAACTGTGGCTGTGACAGTCCTGAACAAGAAGGGTTTCCTGTTCAAGCTGCAGTAACTTTTCTGACTAGGGATCATCGCTCCTTCTTTGGCAGATTTTTAGTTTCTCTAATGCATTTGGGATGACTGTCTCAAAGTAACCTACAGCTTTCCTGACAACTTCTCACTCTCTTTCCTCCTAAGAACTGTAGCCCTTTTCTGCTGTTTTTAGAACCTTCTGCTACCACATCCATCATTTCCACCACCGGATCCATAACCACGCCATAGGGATTGCCCAAGCTTCTTCCACCAAAACTGACGCCTTTCATGGGCCCATAATTTGATTGCTGTTGTTCACTATAATTTCCAAAATCATTATAGTTCCTACCACCACCATAGTTGCCACTGGCAAAATTTCCTCCTTCATTGTAACCATCATATCCTCCACCATTGCCACCATATCCACCACCTTGGTTTCCATATCCTGGTCCACCACCACTAGAGCCCCCTATACTACTATAACCAGGACCCCTGCCATAGTTGCCACCGTCACCTCCAGATCAATGATATCCACCATCGCCTCCTCCATAACTACCTCTGCTGCCACCACCTCCACCACTGTAACCCCCTCTTCCACCAAAGTTTCCACCGTGGCCAAAATTACCTCCACCACCTCCAAAGTTTCCTCCGCGACCCATAAAATTGCGAGATTCACCTCCACAACCTCTCTGTGATCCAGCAGACCGCATCTCTTGTTTAGAAAGGGCCTTTTTCACTTCACAGTTATACCCTTTAATAGTGTAGTAATTCTGAACAACATTTTTATCAACTGTATCATGATCATCAAAAGTCACAAAAGCAAATCCTCTTTTTTCCACTCTGCCTGTCTTCCATAACTTCTATGGTTTCAATCTTGCCATACTTTTCAAAGTAGTCTCTCAAATTATACTCTTCTGTATCTTCTTTCATACCACCAATAAAAATTTTCTTCAGTTAGATGGGCACCAAGCTTTACAGAATCCTCTCTGGCAACAGCTCTCTTTGGTTCCACTATACATCCATCAACCTTGTGTGGTCAAGCGCACATTGCTGCATCCACCTCGTCAACACAAGAATAAGTCACAAAACCAAAGCCCCTGGAACATTTTGTTTGGGGATCTCTCATTACCACACAATTGGTGAGTGTGCCTCATTTCTCAAAATATTCTCTCAAACTATCTGTAGTTTCAAAGCTCAGACCACCAATAAGCAGTTTTCTCAACTGCTCTGGGTCCTTTGTATGATGGCCCTCCATTTTGAGACCAGACTTGGGTCTTCCAACTTGAGTTCGATATCTCTATGTTTTTTCATAGGATAAAGATAAACTAGGCAAGCAGCTAGTGCCTGTTCGCTACTAATTAAAAATAAATTAGAAAGTATTTTTATGAGAGAGAAATGGGGGCAGAGTCATGTATCCTGTGTTTGAAGAACTGGTTTAATTAGTGCATGACTGGTATATGTTGTTTACTGTTCTCTCACACCCTGAGCAGTTTTCTGCCTGGGGATGGCTTGGTGTTC